GGACATCTGAGGAGTGACAGGTGAGTTTGAGTTGCTGATCTTGCCATTCAAACCCACCTTATGAGCTAGTACTTTTTTTTTTTTTTTTTAAAGTTTTTATTGTGAATTAAGTCATAGTTTACATGGGAGAACATCAGTTTTGTACTCACCCTATAGTATTTGGTTTCATTGAAATGATCACAGTCCCCTTCATGCATCATTATTTAATAGTATTTTTTTCTATTCCCTGTTTTGTTTTGATGTATACAAAAACATTCAGAATATATAATCATTTAAACAACTAGAGGGTATATTCTGCAAGCCTGCCTCCTGGCAGCTGGCACACAGCCTTTCTCTTTCCATGAGTCTAGAGCCCTCAGCTGCTCTATCTCTCCATGCCATTATTTCTGGATCCATCACTGGTGTCGCTGCTTCTCTAGATAGGGTCCCACATTCTGCTCATGTTCTTCTACTTTGATGGTCCTAGGGTCCTCTGTTCCTGTAATGTATGATTAACTACTCCTCCCTTTATGTTACAAAACTTCTTCCTTTACAGTTGTGACAATCACAATTAGTCATGATAACCACTACTCACTATTGAATCAAAAGAATCCTATCCTCATCTTCTTTCACCAAACCCATCTAGACAAGATGAAAACTATTCAGTAAGGATTCTACCTTTTCCCACACACTCTGAAACAACTTCTTCTTGAAAACTTGTAAGCCAGTCACTTCATACCATTAAAGCACCCCTCCCCCATCTTTTTTAGGTAGCCAATGTCTAAGTTGCCCATCCCTATCAACCCGGTATAGCGAGGGGATAGGTTTGATCCTTGATGTGAAGACTCTTTCCTTCTCAGTTGGTATTTTGAGCAGCTACATCCATAAGTATAGGCCAAGTTCATCAAATTGTAGCAATTTACACTTGCTTCCTTTATCAAATTCCTTTATATTCCTCTAGTCAAGCTCTGGTCATCAAACCATTGAAGCTAGGTCAAATGGGTTGTTGTTGTTGTTAGATGCTATCGAGTCGGTACCGACTCATAGCAACCCTATGCACAACAGAATGAAACACAACTTGGTCCTGGACTAACCTCACAATTGTTGCCATGCTTGAGCCCACTGTGCTGCCACTTTGCCAATCTATCTTTCTGGGGGTCTTCCTCTTTTTCTCTGACCCTCCACCTTACCAAACATGATATCCTTCACCAGTGACTTGTCCCTCCTGACAATATTTCTGAAGTATGAGAGATAAAGTCTGGCCATCCTGACCTCGAAGGAGTGCTCTGGCTGTACTTCTTCCAACACAGATTTGTTTGTTCTTTTGGAAGACCTTGGTACTTTCAATATTCTCCTCCAACACCATATCTCAATGCATCAATTCTTGTATGATTTTCCTATTCACTATCCACATTTCACATGCATATGAAGTTATTGAAAATACCCTGGCTTGTGTCAGACATACCTTAGTCCTCAAGCTGACATTTTTGCTCTTCAACACTTTAAAAAGGTCTTGTGCAACAGATTTGCCTAATGCAATACGTTGTTTGATTTCTTGGCTGCTACTTCCATGAGTGTTGATGATTGATCCAAGAAAAATGAAGTCCTTGACAACTGCAACCTTTTCTCCATTATTGGTCCAGTGGTGAGGATGTTTGTTTTCTTTGCATTCAGATGCAATCCATAGCAAGGGCTATGGTCTTTGATCTTCATCAGTAAGTATTTTAAGTTCTCTTTACTTTCAGCAAGCAAGGTTGTGTCATCTGTATATTGCAGGCTGTTAATGAGTCTTCCTTCAATTCTGATGTCATGCTTTTCTTCATCATACTTATTCAACCTGTATGTTGAACAAATAATCTGAGAATCTGGGTTACATGAAGAATAAAGAAGGTCAAATGGGTACTATCTGAAAAATTGGGTGCTTTTGTGCCTCTCCCCCCATTTCATATCAGATGGACACTTTACTCTCAGCTCTAGTCCTCCATGGCTAGGTCAATGTCCATGGGCTCAAGAGTTCTCAAGTCTCCCTAAACTTCGGACCAACCAGCCCTTCCTCTTCTCTCTCTCATCTTGTTGATGAAGTGGTTTTCCTACAGTGTCACACCAGGACTCCAGCCTTGACAAATAGCTCAAAGCAGATCCTCAATCATTAAAATCCATGCTTCATCAGTGCTGTCTATGGACAAACTTCCATGTTAAGACGTTTTAGGGAAAAGGAGGATGTCTTAGAAGCCATGAAAAAGAACTTGCGATTTTAAGGACCTCAATTCAACCTGAAGAAAGACACTGGCAGAGTTAATTCTAGTATGAGACCCAAGGATCAGGACTCAAAGAAATGAATGAACCAAGTGGTAGGCTTGTTGAGAAAAAGTGAGATAGATTTTAAGTAAGATGGTTTTGGGAGATCTCATGAACATGATAGACTCAGAAGGACAGGTATCACTCTAAGGGGCACATATGAGGGGAAAGAGAACTCAAGATCAGAGAAATAACTTGAATAGAACTTCAGGGTGTATTTTTAAGGGATGAACTAGTCATCCACCATGTTTGAATAACAATGCTGCTATGAGCTGCTATGAAGCTGGTCCCAACTCTTTGTGGTTCCTTGCACAATGAAATGAAACACTGCCGGCCGGGTCCTGTGTCATCAGTCATGGATCAGTTATGGATTAGATAATGTTCCAATGTGATCTATTGGATTTGCATTGGCTGATTTCCAGAAATAAATCACAAGCCTTTCTTAGTCTTTCTAAGTATGGAAACTCCTTTGAAACATGTTCAGCATCATGTTGTTGTGAAGTGCCATAGAATCGATTCCAACCCATAGCGACCATGTGCAGGGTTTCTGAGGAGCAGCTGATGAGCTTGAACCACTGACCTTGCAGTTCAAACGGCTTTGCAGTCTGGCGCATTGGCCCATAGCGCCATATCATTGTTGTTGCTAAGTGCCATCGAGTCGATTCTGACCCATAGTGTCCCTGTACAGGGTTTTTAAGGAGCAGCTGGTGAGCTTGAACTGCCGACCTTGCAGTTCAAACAGCTTTGCAGTCTGGTGCATTACGGTTAGCACAGAGCCACACCAAGACTCTGTAGCAACATGCAAATCATCAGTGACAAGTGAGTGCTGGCTGCACATGGGATGCAGTGGCCAGGAGGTTTTGTGGTTCAGTGGTAGATTTCTGTTTTGTATGTAGGATACCTGGGCTGAATAACCATAGATAACATTGATTAAATGCTTACCATGTTCAAGGCAAAATTCATAGCTTTTGTTAGTTGTCATCAAGTTGATTCTGACCCCGTTAGGCCCATTTTGGACTCTTGCTGTGGTGCTGTGGGATCAACACTGGACTACAAACCACAATATTGGCAGTTCAAACCCACTAACTGCACCTCGGAAACCCTATGCAAGGTTGCTATGAGTAAGAACCGACTTGATGGCACTTAAGAACAACAGGCCCATTTTACAGATAAGAAAACTGAGTCACATAAAAGTTAAGAAATTTTCTCAGATCACACAGCTAGATAGTAATCCAGTCAGGATTTAAGTCTGCACTCATCAGCATGATACTCCAGTATATACAGTGCAGGTGGAAATGCAAAACGGACTGGAACCAGACAGAGTAGAGAGTCTTCTGTGGCATACCAAAAATTCTCCTTCATTTGTAAATTACCAAGGGAAGAAGAAGTATCTTGCATTCTGCATCTGTGTGGAAAAGAAATAAAAATGTTACAAAACAAAAGAAAAACACAAAGATTCTCTATAACTAATGATTATGTATAACAATTGATCATTTATAACTCTTAAATGATTGTTCTAATAATCATTATAGAGAATCTTTGTGTTTTTCTTTTGTTTGATTACATTTTTCGACAGCCAGCCATATGTGGTTATTGAGCATCTGAAATATAAAACTGAAACAAACAAATGAATAAAACGTACTGCCTTCAAGTTAATTCCAGGCCATGGTGATTCTATAGGACGGAGCAGAACGGATTCATAGGGTATCTGTGGCTGTAAATCTTTATGCAAACATACTGCCTCGTCTTTCTCCCAAGGAGCCACTGGTGACTTCAAACTGCTAACCTTTTGGTTAGCAGCCCAACTGAGCTCCTTTTATTTGAAATATAGTTACCCAAATTGAGATAGGCTGTAGGTGCAGGGCACACACTGGGTTTCAATGAGAAAATAATATAGACTATCTCATTATTTTGTATGTTAACACATGCTGAAATGATCATATTTTGGATTGTACTGGGTTAGATACAAAGTATTTTATTTTTGCTTTTGTTAATGGAGCACTAGTTGGTATTTTTAAATTACCTAGATGGCTCACATTATATTTCTATGGGACAGTGCTGGTCGGAAGCAATTGAAAACTCACTGTAGATATTTCACTAGCCAACTCTGATGAAGTACTTTTTCACCACACTCTTCTTTTAACCACATTCTTTCCTTGCTTTCTGGCTATTTGCAAGAAAACCTTTTCAAAGGCTCCCCCTTTAAAAGCCCTTAGAATTTCCTTTTTCACTTGTTCCCAACCACAAACAAATGATCAATGTGATCCGTGGATGAAAAGTCAACTTTACAAAGGCAAAGGAGAGAGGTGTAAAAAAAATTTCCAGTCCCTGAATGGTGTGAAGTAAAAGTGCTTTCAAAGGATTCCACAAGAATGGCATAGGTGGATATGATGAGTCCATCTCATCGTCAAAGATGCAAGGAGTTGATAGGAAATTCTAACTACAACACCAAAATGCCACAAAAACCAGAGTTATTAATGCAAACTAACTAGCATCCCTGCCTATCTGTCACCATCTCATCTTAAAAAAAAAGTGTGAAAAATACGTAATCCTGATGAGGCTTCAATCAGGTATAAATACAGCAGCTACCAGAGACTTGGCACATTGTTCTGATCATTGGCTGATCTACTATTAGGAAAGAAAGATCAGCCAAGTACTTTGCCTTGATTAATTTAATACAGGGGCCACTAATTTCAGCAACTTTGATCTAACTCTTTGAAACAATGAATTATACAAGTTATCTGTTAGCTTTTCAGCTTTGTATCATTTTGGGTTCTTCTAGCTGCTTCTGCCAGTCTACTGTTTTGAAAGAGATACAGAACCTAAAGGAATATCTTGTAAGTATGACCTTTTAATAGTTCTTACTTGTGGTTGAAAATGGCTGAACATGGACTTGCAGCTGTGTCTGTGAAAGGCTGTTATCTCTCCACCACTGTCATTTTGAGAAGACTTGGGGTTAATTGTTATGTCATTGTTGACTGGGTGATGTCGATATTGTTCTAACCTTCTACTCAGTTGGTGGTAGACTTAGAGAGGATCCATGCCTATCCCAAAAGGTGGGCATGATATGGGAATAAATCATAATAATATGTCAATAATTTTGTAGTGAGAATCCATTTATCAATTGTGATAAATGAAGGAATCAACATATTGGAATCAACATGACTGGTACTCAGTTGTTAACCAAAAGGTTGGTGGCTGAAATCTCAGAGGCTCTGTGGGAGAAAGATGTGACGGTCTGCTCCCATGAAGATTACAACTTTTGAGATCTTATGGGGCAATTCTAGTCTGTGTCCCATGGTCACTGTGAGTCAGAATCTATTTAACAGTAACCGGTCATCTCTTTCTGATTTTTCTGCTAACAAGAGGCATAAAAGCTCAAGATTAACATTTGAAATGGTAATAGGAGACAATTTCTCAATCAAAATGAAAGAAAGTGAGGTTTTTAAAACTTTGACATTAAAAAAAAAAAAAAAATCACTTACAACTGTTTTTTTCCAGAAAGTAGTTTCAAAAGTCTACTGCTCTGTCTGTATTTCTTGTGAATTACCCCTAACTCAGTCACTTGCTGAGATTTTATAGGAATTATGATTTGGGTTTATAGTTTATTTATTTATTTTTTGCTGTATGAATTTATTTTCAATTTTATTTATAGTTAATAGAAAGTGGGTTTACACACGAGAAATACTTATTTGTCCTAAATTTAGCTCTTAGAGTAATAGCTATCTTGAAAGAATTACACATTCACAAACTACACTGTTGTTGCAAAGTAAAATCAAGTCACTTTTATAATGTTGTTGGTATTAAGTGCCATCGAGTTGGTTCTGACCCACAACAACCCTGGATAGGGTTTCCGAGGAGCAGCTGGTGAGCTTGAACTGCTGACCTTGTGGTTCAAACAGATTTGGCAGGCCAGTGCCCCACCAAGACTCCACAGAGCTCTTAAAATAATTTTAACTTTCTTGCAAAGCCAACATAATAATACTGTATTGTTAAGACACAGGTTGATGTTATTGAGACCTATGCCATAGGGGGGCAGTGTTTTCCAGTGGGATAGTTTTTCTGTTTCTGTGTTTTAACTAGACTTGAAAACTTTCTTTAGCATATTATAGTTATTTGGGACCCTTCAAGTATCACCAGTCTTACTGAGTTCATTTGTAACATTGAAATTTAAGGGTTTCACTAGATTGTAAGAAAGTGCAAAGAACATGATGGGTTTTGACTCTTTCTCCCACAATAGTTATTGGGAATAGTTAATTTATAACTCTATAAATCAGGGCTGACAAGTAAACCAGTGAATACTGTCAGCATATGAATTCAATAAAATTTTAAGTACATTTGTGGTCTAATCGTAAACCAACTCTTCTTTTTTTTGTAGAACGCAACTGATTCAGATGTAGCAGATGGTCGCCCTCTTTTCTCAGAAATTTTGAAAACTTGGAAAGAGGTAAGTTGAACATGTCCACTGGGCTGAATTTCCTGGTGCTCATTTTCTGGTGGATAAATTCACAGCACCCTCTCTGTGCTCTTTTCTTCCCAGGAGGGTGACAAAAAAATCTTTCAGAGCCAGATTGTCTCCTTGTACTTGAAAATCTTTGAAAACTTAGAAGGTAACCAGATCATCCAAAAGAGCATAAACACCATCAAAGAAGATCTCTTTGTTAAGTTCTTCAATAGCAGCATCAACAAATGGAATGAATTCCTAAAGCTGGCTAAAACTCCGGTAAGGGGCTCTAATTATCCACAAGGTAGAAATTCGTTATTGGGTACAATCATTAAAGCAGTGAAATGAATTCATGGCAGAAACTCCTCCTTACTAGTTCCAGTTGTACTTGGAGTTCCTTTGCAAAGACAGTATGGGAATAATATAAATTTCTAATTTGGAAAAATACTGGCACTATAACCATTGTATAAAGACAGGTGAATGAACACATCTATTGGGAGGAAGTAAGTGATGAAACAGGCGTACTGAAAAGTCCCTGGGTGACAAAAATGGTTAATGTGCTCTACTGCTACTGAAAGAATGAATCCATTCTGAGGTGCCTCACAGAAAAGGCCTGACCATCTAATTCACCCAAAATCAGCTACTGAAACCTTATGAAGCTCAGTTCTACTACAGATGGGGGCCCCCATGAGTCATGTGGACTTGACAACAACTGTCTTTAATGAGAAGTAATTCTTTCATTGTCCCTTGTACATGTGATGGAAATTCTCCTACTTTGTTTGGCAGGGAACATATGTTAGTGGAAAGAGCAGTGGGAGGGGTGAGAAGATTGGCACTCTCCCCCTAGCTCTGTCATCAAAGGATTATGAGACCTTAAATGAATCACATGGCAGATTGGGGCAGTTTCCTCATATTAAAAGGAACATTGGATCCTTAATGTAATTTATGTGGTCTCCTTTGCCCTACAACTAACTCTACAAAGTCACAAAAAAGGGGGCGTGAGATAGGAGAGAACTAAGGCCTTGGGAAGGGGCCATGGTAGCACATGGCTAAGCACTCAGCTGGTAACCACAAGGTGAGTGGTTCAAATCTACCAGTCACTCTTGTAAGCCAAAGATGTAGCAGTCTGCTTCTGTAGAGATTTAGAAACCCTGTGGGGAAGTTAGACTCAGTCCTTTAGGGTCTCTGAGTCAGAACTGGCGCAGGCAGTGGGTTTAATGGAGTCCTGTTGTGGTGCTGTGGGATAAGCATTGAACTGCTAACTACAAGGTTGGCAGTTCAAACCCACCAATCGCACCTAAGAAACTCTGTAAAGGGCCACTATGAGTTGGAAATGACTCAAAACACACAGTAACGAGTTTGGTACAGAAGGCCTTTGAGGAGGGGAGGCACTAGGATGCTTCCCACTGTCAGATTCATTCACCTCAACTTGTGCAGTTCAATTAGAGACAAGGGTGTTTCTTGTTTGCTTGTTTTTGAAGGAAGAAAAAAAGAAAAAAAAATGTAGAATTTATATGTTATGAAAGAATTGTTTTATCAACTTTTGGATACAAGAACACCTTAGCTAAAGAAATGTTTATGCTCCCAAAGCTGTACCTCATGATGTTGACTTGAATCTTTTAAGACCTTTAGATGCTGAAAGATAACATTAAAGGATATAGACAAGTCATATTTTCAAAACTTGATCGAGGAGACAAAGTTCTCCAAATTCATCTGAATTTGACTTTGATATAAATGGTATTGAACAACAGACTTCTCTTAGGATCTGTTCTCTTGAGATTTGTGCCTACCTTTTTTTACCTTAACTGAATCTGCTTCCCCTTCCTCTCAGGTAGGCTCTCAAGAGCTAAATTAGTGTGTGTTCTTCAGGATTTCTCTAGTCTCCAATACTTTACAAAGTAAGAAGATGTCTTAGAAAAGTGATAAACTTGTACTGCTTTCCATTGATACAATGTTTTATAATGTTCAGCAGATTTCTCATGATAAAGCACAGTCTAGAGGTTAAGAAAACATTTGTCATAACTCAGTGCAGTCCCTAGCTTAGGGTTTAGGCCTGCATGAATCTCTTAGTTTCTTGATGATGCTTTGAACTCAGGACATTAACATTTGTGTTGCAAGCATATAGCCAGTAGGGAAGTCTACTTGGCTGTAACTTGGCCTTGCCAATGAAATTTTATGTTGTTCCCCGCATCCTTCTGGAAGCTCCATGCCCCCTTGCTTCATGACGGGCACTCCTGAGTGAGCTCTCAACAATGATCTTCTTTGGTGAACATGTTATACACTCATTATGCACTTTTAATAATTTGTTGCTGTAATCTAGATACTTTAGTCATTCTCAGAAATGTGGCAAGGTAACCACAGTGTTTCCAGCATTGGAAAGAACTATAGTGGCAGAACTAAGATAAAAATATAAGTGTTCAGTTTTTAAAGCATGGAATCATCCAAATGATTCTCTTGGTAAGAAAATTCCAATAGTTGCATTTGTAGGCAGAGAAAGTTGAGTACAGGAGAATTTTGCTACAATACCTAATTTTCAGTGTCATGTATATATCAGTTAACTATTGATTATTACATATGAACATGATGATTTTAATCACATTATAGTAATGATGAGGCAAATTGTGAAGAAATTCAAAATGAAAGTTTTCATCTGTCTTGGACTTGGTGTATCCAAAGTACTTAACCTAAATGGTTCTCAAACTTTGATGAGTATTAGATGTACCTGGGAATTTAGTGACGACACTAAGGCTCAGGCCCTCTCCTACTCATGCACCTGGATCTCGAGGATACTCTGGTACACACCAGAGTTGAGAACAATTGACTCATAGCAATTCATTGGATACTTACAGCAAAGACTAAAGTACAAGGTGATAGGATTGGTAGAGAGCCAAAGGCCATTTCTTTCAGATGATAAATCAAAGGTTCAGAAAGATAAAGTGACTGGTTCAAAACAGAGTTATTGCATACACAGGATTCAAACCCACATTTTTTCCCACTCTACCTCAGGGTATATGCTTTTGAGAATTTCATAGCAGTAAATTCAAGGGTAAGTAATATGCCCCATAATATTATAGTATAATTATCAATTTAATAATAATTTTAGCTTTAAGTGCTGAAGAAATCAACAGTCTATATTGAAGCAATATATTGCTAGTGACTTAGTGAGTCATTTGCTTTTTTTTTTTAAAGGAATATTTCCATTTTCAACTGATCATGACATGAACAATAGAAAGCCTTGAAGACTGAAATTAATTTTTCCTTTTGTATTTTCCCAACAGGCAAATGACAGGAAGATCCAACGCAAAGCCATAAATGAGCTCACCAAGGTGCTGAATGATCTGTCACCTACATCTAACCTGAGGAAGAGAAAAAGGAGTCAGAGTCCGTTTTTTGTCCGGAGAGCATCAGAATAATGATTACCCTGCCCACAAGATTTGAATTTTAAAATCTAAATCTATTTATTACTATTTAATATTTTACATTATTTATATGTTTTTAGACGAAATAACCAAAGATGTATTTATAATGGAAACTTTTATGTAATGAAAATTAATATCTATTAATATATATGTATTATTTATAATTCCTGTATCTTGTCACTATTTCACTTGACTCTTTTTTTTTTATCTAACTGGGCACGACTATGTGATTATAAGGCTTTTATCTCAGGGGCTGACTAGATGGCAGACTTAAGCAAGACCCTGTGGGCTGTACATTTATTTCAGTGAATGATACAATGAACACTTACAAATGGTACCATCCATTTGGCACATGTCTGCATTCTGAGCCACTGCTTTAATGGTATATCAGACAGCACTTAAATGTGTCACGTTGTATGGCCTGTCTTCCCCTGATAAGAACATAACATCTCATGTGATATCATGCCTGGTGCTTTAGAATATTGTTGATCACTGTGTCTGCATCCCATTTATTTAATATATTTGAATAAAGTATAATTTTACAACAAATTATTCTGTATCCGTTTTTCTAAGTGGGGATTGTAGGAGTTGAAAGTCATTTTTCCCTAGGCAATTACAAAATTGGATTGTTGTTAACTGCCATTGAGTCGGTTCTGACCCATAGCGACCCTGTATAGGGTTTCCAAGGAATGGCTGGTGAGCTTGAACTTCTGACCTCATGGTGCAAACCAACTTTGCAGTCCAGTGCTTACCCCATAATGCCACACCAGGACTAAGTTCCTTAACAAGTAGTGTTTCTCTCCACTGGCAATTTGTTGGCTTCCACAGCTTTAGTTGGCAACTGTTTGATTATCTTTTCATGATATAGATTGAATTATGTCATCATTTGCTTTAGAGCTTTTCCATGTAGGATACACACTGGACTGCTAACCACAAGGTCAGTGGTTCAAACCACCAGCTACTCCTTAGAGACTCTGTATAGGGTCATTATAAGTTGGAACTGACCCCACAACACTTAACAACAACAACAGCAACAACCATGAAAAATAGTTCAAAGTACTTACCTTGGCTCACTAGACTTTATTCCTAGTATCTCCCCCAAGTCCCCAATGTACCCCTCATCTTCTCTTTCCCCCTCCCCATTCCCACCTTGAGCAAACACCCTTAGATAATGGAATGAAAAATATAAGCTCTACAGAGAAAAACCTAGCTTAGAATTTGAGTTCTGTCATTACAAGAAGGGTGGTCTTTAATAGATTATTCATGTTCTCTGAACTGGAAAGGAGGGTAATCCTACCTTCCTTATTACATTGTGGAAAGAGTTCACTCTCTCACTTAAGCAATAGCTACTAAAATGGCACCCACTATATGTCTAGTGGTATTTCAGGTACTTGAGATATCTTGTTGTTTTTAAGAGCCATTGAGTCAGTTTCAACCCATGAAGACCCAGTACAGGGTTTCGGAGGAGTGGCTGGTGGGTTTAACTGTTGACCTTGGGGTTAGAAGTCCAGTGCTTACCCTGTAGGACAACAATAGGACTCCGAGATGTCTCAGTAAACAACAAAGACAAGGAGAAAACAGATAATAAACAAAACACATGATGTGTCCGTAAATTGCATAGCATGTTAGAAGGTGACAGAAGCTAAAGATACAAAAAAATAAAAGTAGATAGGATGAGGAGAATTGGAAATACTATAAGTGAAATGGGAAGTGGGGATTAGAGGTTTGAATAAGAAGGTTTAAATAGTAAGCCTCACTGAAGAGGTGCCATTTGAAGAAGTACTTGGAAACGATAAGGGAGGAAGTTATTTAAATTCCAGGGACTAAGATGAAGATGAGGCTATCTTTGGGAGGTCATTATTCAGCTTACCACAGGAGATAGAACAGGGTGCAGAGGCAGTCTGAGTGAGGTAAAGAGGTATCCACTCAGGTAAGGTATTGGCAGGTTGATTGCTTACAGGAGAATTGATTAAATAAATAAATATATTAAGGATAATGGGAACCAAGTTTTTCACTGCTGGTACAGAAAGGAAGAAAATTAGAATAAATGCTATGATTTGAGTTGGAGTTGGATGTATTAGTACAAACCTATATATATGGAATCCTGGTGTGGCACTGTAGAACTGGACTGCTAACCAGATGTTCAGTGGTTCAAATCCACCAGCTGCTTCTTAGAATCCCTAGAATTCAGAGGATCACTGAGTCAGAACCAACTCTATGGCACTCAAAACGGAAATATACCAGGATATATACATATGTATATATAATTGTTGTTAAGTGTTGTTGAGTCAGTTCCAACCCATAGCGACCTCGTATATGGTTTGTGAGGAGTGGCTGGTGAGCTTCAACCACTGACTTTCTTTTTATATACACCTATGGTGACTCGACAGCACATAACAACAACAACAACAACAACAATGGTGATGGTGGTGGTGTGCCATGGAGTTGGTTCCGACTCATAGAGACCCTGTATAGGGTTCCTGAGGCTGTAAATCTTTACAGGAACAGAAATCTTCATCTTTCTCCTGTGGAACAGCTGGTAGTTTCAAATTGCTGACCTTGAAGTTAGCAGCCTGACTTGTAACCACTACGCTACCAGAGCTCCTTATATACAAACACATACACACATACACACACACACAGAGGAAGTCCTGGTGTAGCATTTTGGGTTAATGAGCTAGACTGCAAAGTCTGTTTGGATGGTAAAGTTGGTGGTTCAAGCGCACCAGTGATTCCTTGGAAAACCTATACAGGGTTGCTATAGGCTGGAACTGACTCGATGACACTAAACAATATATATATTGTTACTGACACTTAACAATATATATGTTGCTTTTATTAGGTGCCATCCAGTTGGTACCGGCCCATAGTGACTGTATGCACAGCAGAACGAAACACTGCCTGATCTTGGGACAACCTCACTATTGTTGCCACGCTTGAGTCCATCGATGCTGCCACTTGTCCAATCCATCTCATTGGGGGTCTTCATCTTTTCCTCTGACCCTCCACCTTACCAAAAATGATATCCTTCTCCAGTGACTGATACCTCCTGACAATGTGTCCAAAGTATGAGAGACGAAGTTTGGTCATCTTGGCTTCTAAGGAGCACTCTGGCTGCACTTCTTCCAACACAAGATCTGTTGGTTATATGGGCAGCCCATGGCACATTCAATATTCTCCTCCAACACCATAACTCAAAAAGCATAAATTCTTCTACAGTCTTCCTTATTCACTGTCCAGCTTTCACACGCATATGAGGCTATTGAAAATACCATGGCTTGGGTCAGGCACACCTTAGTCCTCAAGCTGGCATCTTTACTCTTCTATGCTTTAAAAAGTTCTTGTGTAGCAGATTTGCCTAATACAATATGTCATTTGGTATCTTGACTGCTGCTTGACAGCTGCTAGTTGATCCAAGAAGAATGAAGTTCTTGACAACTTCAATCTTTTCTCTGTTGATAGGAATGTTGTTTATTGATCCAGTGGTGAGGATTTTTGTTTTCTTGTCATTGAGATGTAATCCATATAGAAGGCTGTGCTCTTTGAACTTCATCAGTAAGTGTTTTAAGTCCTCTTCATTTTCAGCAAGCAAGGTTGCATCATCTGCATATCACAGGTTGTTAATGAGTCTTCCTCCAATCCTGATGC